TACGGTTGAAAATGCCTACTAGGCATTATGCCCACTGGGCATATGCCTAGGCATAAATGCCCGGCATTTTGGGCATATATATTTCATGCCCAATTGGGCATATAATTTGGGGGGCGAATTGGGGGAAAATTGGGGGCGAAATAGGGGGGATGACACACTTTACTACTTACGCCATCTGGTGTGTGAGCTTTTTGGGTGGAACGTGCCGGGCATATGCCGGGCACGTGCCGGGCATATAAGGGCATATATATTAAATGCCGGGCATTTTTTCAACCGTAGTTTCAATAGCTATTGTATATACTCCTATCTTGAAGTTTCAAAAATTACGTCATTTAAATGAAAAAATTGACAAAAAATGTGTATAATTACTGGACATATTTAGACTTTATTGGACTATATACTTCTAACTTGAAATTTTACTCATTTTAACATTGTAACTTGAATTTTTCTAACTTGAAATCCTCCTATCTTGAAGTCATTTGTCAAGACCCGACCATTTCAAGATACAAGGGTTAACTGTATTACTTTTAAATCAAAATAAATGATAAAACCGGTTAAATGAAAATAACAATAAGTGTTGAAATAATAACGAGTGTTGACTGTATTGTTATAAAGCGGCAAAAGTTTGACCAAAATATATTACTCCACAACAAATGCATACAAACTGTACTCATATTTCATATCTATTCATACAATTTGTTTGCATTTTTTGTAGACATTATTTCAATAATACAAACAGTAGTGAAGTCTATTCGAGTGAAAAGTGGGCTAATTCCTCTTTTAGCGACTATTCTTAGAATGACTTGATTTGTGTTTAAATCATTGATTTATGTCTTAAGAAGTAATTATTGATTAAAATAAAAGTGCGGAAACACTTTATTCGATATAATATTCGAGACCGAAATTTCGACTTTTCCCATTGAAACCATACGGGATAAGACATATTTATTTTATATATATATAAGTTAGGTTAGGTTGGGTTAGGTTAGGTTAGGTTAGGTTAGGTTAGGTCAAATAAACAAAATTTTATGATGATTTTCAATGGGAAAAGTCGAAATTTCGGTCTCGAATATTATATCGAATAAAGTGTTTCCGCACTTTTATTTTAATCAATAATTACTTCTTAAGACATAAATCAATGATTTAAACACAAATCAAGTCATTCTAAGAATAGTCGCTAAAAGGGGAAAAGGCCGAAAAGTGGTTTAAAAATTGATTGTTTTTTGTCTCGCATTTTAAATTGAAATTGAAATTTTCAATCAAACCATTCATAAAATCACTTCATTTGATCCCAAGATATGGCAAAACGGAGGAAACACAAGAAGACATCACTCGTGACCACAGATGACGGCAAAGAGGAAGACATTCAACAAGTTTTTGATTAACATTTGACTTTTTATTGAGTTATTTATTTTTATCTCATTTTAGCCGCAAATCTATGCGAAAGACTCTTTGGATCGATTCGGTGATGATTTGTGTGCAGTCATAGTGTCTTATCTCACACTTGAGGAGCGATTTGTGTTGCAATGCGTGTCCAAACAGATCCAGAGGACTGTCTTCGTCAGTGTTGTGGACATCAATATCAATATCAAACCCATTAAACGAGAAGACAATTCAAAGACTCCTTTGTTTACAATAATGCAAACAATGGGAACAAAGTGTCCAAACATTCAAAGCATTGACTTTCGAGGCGTTGGAGACACCGATCAATACATTCTCGAATTGTTTCCCACAATTCAACACAAATTCCCGAAATTGCGGGAAATTTACTGCGAATTCACGTCAAACAGCGACCGATGGGTTCAACAGTTGTCACCACTCGTCACACGTGTTAGCGATATATCGCCGGCAAAGAAACAATCGCTCACTCATTGCCACCAATTGTCTCATTTAAGTGTCAATTCGTTGTCTGATGTCTTCGACACCACTTTCGAACAGCTATTGGCGAACAATTTGCACACATTTAAGATTAAGCGCTGCGATGGCAGCGAACTGTTGGCCCGATTCGTGGCCGGGAATCAGTGCCTGAAGAGTGTTGATGTCTTATTTTCAAATCCCAACCATTTGGCCGAAATGTGCGAACAATTGTCACGATTACCACATATACGGGAACTGACACTTCGGTTGATGTTAATTAATGGTCAGACGTCAGTGTTTAACCACTTTTTGGGTACAATTGGTGTAAATTGCAAACAATTGAAACGATTGACACTCATGTTGCCCTCTAAAGCACCCCTTATTCAGATATTGGATCCGCTGAAGAACTACCGACGGTTAAGAAGTTTGAGGGTATGTTCAAAACAATTAGACACCAATTTGCTGTTCAATTGTGACAAACATTTGCCACGACTTCAATACCTAATCATCTTAACGGAGAAAATCACTCGCGAGTGTTTGTCTCACATCTCAAGACTACCGGCGCTGCAAAAGCTTGTCATTGACTGCCTTCAAGACATTAATCTCTCGGATAATGATTTGAATGCTGTGTTGTCTTCGAGTCCTAAACTCAAGACAATTGAAATCTGTGTAAACAATGAGATGTTTTATTCGAAGAAAAAATCTTATAAATATTAATTAATTACAATTTCTTTTTATTTCATGTTAATTGTAATTAAATTAATGTTTATTTCTGTTATAACATTGTATATAATGATAAATCGAAAGCTACTTTTTCACAATAAACTTTTAAATTGAAATTTTAATCACTATATCTTGAATTCCTTCTATGTTGAAGCCATTTGTTAGGACCCGATTATTTCAAGATACAAGGGTTTTCTGTACTAATTTATTTTAAAGGATTGTGGCGTTTGAGGGATCAGTTGAGGTGATAATGTCACCATTTTTGCGATGATATACCAAATAAATAGCCATCAAAACAGTAAATCAATAAAATTCATTATTTTAATCAATAAATTAAAGGCAAGAAAATAAGAGTTAAATAACAATCAATAGATTTTTTCTTATAAAACAGATCTACAAATCAATTAAACAGTGATTTCTTTGATAAGCAAATGAGAAAAATAAAATAATTTGTTCGCTAATAGTTGTAAATGCAATGCAATGGAGAGACAGGAAAAACAAATAACAAAATAAAACTAAAAAATGCAATCAAAATCATATGTTATACGTCGGGAGCACTTGTTTCTGGACGATATAAAACTTATGCTTTTTGCCTAAAAAGCCCCACAAAACGGCTATATTCTCGATCACTATATTGAATGGTATGGTAAAGATGGCGCCCAACAGACACAACAGGTACCGCCGGACGCCGATTCGGCTTAAGCTGAATGACTTCATTACACCGAATAAATACATATATATAGAGACGGCGCCAACGAATGTGGACAAGAAGTTGCACCACGAGGTCGATGGCAGCGGGTATAGGGAGGCGAACACCAGATTCGATGTGCTTAACGGCATCGTTAGCCACGCGTACAGCGATAGCGCCAGAAACACCTTGTTTTGGATGGGAATGGCCCGCGAGTGCACCACCAGAAAGATCCCTTGCATCCAACGCTTCCGCTGCTGCAGAAAGTCGGTGATAGTGAACGGACTCTTCTCCCACATCTCGCCCTCTATGAAGTCAAACGTATAGCCATTCTTGTAGGCAATCATCGAGAAATAGCAGTCTTCGGCCACTGATCCGTCCAATCCGTGATCGAACGATACGGACCGCTCGGCACTTAGTTTTGTCACAACATATGAGCCTTTCGTTTGGTGGCAAACAAATGGCATATTAATTGTCAATTACTTCAACAGATAATTAGTGGTGAAATTGACATACCTTTCCAACTGAAGAGCGGCCGATGAAACATATAGAACTGAAACCGCAGTTTTCCCATATCGTCGGCCACGCGAAAGCTGTCGGCCAGTGTTGTCCACCAGTTGACCACTTCCTCGTTGGCGTAAGTGATCAATCCCTGTCCGAACTCGTGTTTATTGTTGAACACAAAGTTAAGTATACCGCGGATGGCGTTCTCTGTCATAATGGTCTCCTCATCCAAGTGGACGACCCAATCATTGTCTCCCAATATATTGTTCTCGTCTTCCAGACAGTACTGAAGCGCCCGAGCCTTCAAAAAAACACACATTTATAGAAACAAATGCCAAAAACCAATTGAATACTAATTGCTATTACTTTATAAAGAGCTCCGGATTTGGTCTTATAAGAGGTCGGGACCACCACTTCCCTAATGCGCGGGTGTTTGACGAGACCGATGGCCCGATCGGTCACCACTTCGATGATAAAGTTCTCGAGACCTACCGATAGGCAGGTCTGAAGATTGCGACTAACATTGTTGTGTATGAGATCGGGATAATCGCCACGAGTGACGGTACGGATGCATATGAATGGGGCCAACAGTGGTGTCCCGCGGAGTGTGACTTTCGAGTTGAACGCGTTATACAGAGTGAGTCCCAAGAAGTTGCACAACACCTGCGGCAACGACAACAGCGCCAACACTCGCAACAGGTATAGCCCGGCGGCCGTCCACCAGCCGTAGGCCACGAACGGATCGATGGGCGCGGAGTCGGTGTCGGTGTACCACAACTTGAGTCCACCCGACAGATACTCGAAGACTACTATCACAGACACGAGTAAAATGCAGTGAAGAATATGCTTATCGCCGGCCGATAGGCTTAGCATCACTTCCGGTGGGC